CGGCAGGAGCTTCCCATGGCAGCACCAAAACCGCTGGGGTTGCTTCTCGTGTGCACCTGAGGTAGCGTGGGGCTGTCACACCTGCTGGGGCTGACCTGGGGAAGACCAGCCAGCTGCTGCCACAACAGGAACTTGTGTGACCTGTTTACAGGGGTGGCGACCTGCATTCCTTGGTTTTAAGAAATACTTGTAGCTTGTGCAGTCTAAGTGTTGGGTTGGTTTTTAACAAAATCAGATTGAATTTCTTCTCATGGTTTAGCTACTTGCTGTATGCAGTGAGCTGACATGGAACTCCCCTTCAGTCTGTGTTGTGTGTCAGTCATTACACAGAGCAGATGAGTAGTTTGGGTTTTTTTAACCTGCTGGGGGAAGACTTTCCTCTTTCAGCATCTTACATGTATCTGTCTCCAAAACCTGTGCTGTTTGATCCCTGTAGCGAGGAGGCAAATTTGCATACACATGATCTGCCCCAAGGAGTCATCATACTTTTTTGTTCCTCCTAGTAAACAACACAGCTTTTGCAGTGGTGTTTTTTTTTTTTTTCTTTTGTTTTGTTTGATAGTGCCTTGTGTTAACTGGTTGTTAGTCAGTCTTAGGAGGAAATTGGCCAGAGAATTGGAGATTTTACTCAGCGGGACTTTGACCTGCTGAAGGAGAGTCAACTCTAATTTGTCTTCTACATTGAGGAAGAAGCTTGAGTTCAGCTCCTGCTCAGTGATGAAGAGGTCCCAGATAATCGTGCACTCACTGCTCCTGGCAAGAGTCCAAAGTCAAAAAAGGGTACAGAGGGAATTTCAGCATCCTGAGAGGATTTGAGAAACAACAGAAAATGCAGAGAAAATGTGTTACTTTTGCAATAAAACAATAATGTGCACATTTTAGTATTCTCTCTTTTGTTTTTCCCCCAGGTCTATACTATCAACTTGGAATCTCGTTATTTACTAATACAAGGAGTTCCTGCATTAGGTGTTATGAAGGAATTAGTGGAACAATTTGCATTATATGGTGCCATCGAAGAGTACCATGCTCTAGATGAGTATCCAGCAGAGCAATTTACTGAAGTTTATCTTATAAAATTCCAGAAACTGCAGTGTGCCAGGTATTGGAAAGGGCAATATCTGTTTCTTGCTGTCTTAATATTTTTAATTTTATTTACAAGTCTGTTAAAATTCTAAAGAGTTGAAGGAAAATCTGTCGTTTTGCCAATAAAATTGTAATTCCCTTCAGGGTGGCCAAGAAAAAAATGGACGAACGAAGTTTCTTTGGTAGTTTGCTGCACGTGTGCTATGCTCCAGAATTTGAAACAGTCCAAGAAACCAGGGAGAAGTTGCAGGATAGAAGAAAGTATATAGCAAAAGCAACAAATCAGAGAGGTTTGTAATAAACTTCCTAAGGAATCTTAATATTTCATTTTGGTGGTGGGTGGGGTTTTGGTTGAAGTGCCAATTAAAATGCTTGGTATGTGGCAGTTTTAAAGATGCATTTTATGGATGCTTGCAGAAGAATGGAGACATTTAAATATAGAGAGGGCCGCATTTTTTTCAAAGCAACTTTTTTCACTTTTGGTTGAGACTAAAATAAATAAAACACCTAAGCTTTCATAATGAAGTATTTCCTCCCCATTCCCCAGTGTTATTAGAAATTTCAGGCACTGGCAGGAAAACTGGGATCATCTTTTTACTCTTGCTCCAGTTTATTCAGGCATGCCCAAAGGGACAGCTGGTAAGGAAGGGGACTCTGCCCCAGAACCTTTGACAAAGTTTCCCCGGCCTATGTATGGATGCTGGAGGAATGCTGAGAGTGGGCAGGGTGTATCAAGGCTGCTGTACTGCAGAGTTCCCAGGCAGCACTGAAGGCTGGGCAAGCTGAGAAATAAGCAAGTGGACAAGATCAAGCTTTTCCTTCCTTGTTATAATTCATTCCTTTTATATCATTAGTTAATGTATGATGATATTTGAAGGGAGTAAAATAACATAAAAACCTTTTTTTTAAAAATGTTGGAAGACAGCCTATCCTTGAAATCGTAACTGGAGGTTAAAATGATTTATTTGCAACATTAGAAGTATTTTCCTCATCTTCTCAAAGCTGCTGAAACACTTCTGTTCAGGCATTCCTCACAAACTGGTACAGGGACTAGGCTGGAAAACTTGAAAGGTGCCACTGAGGAACAAACAATCACAGGAAGGTGGCTGGGAATGAAAGATCACTGGTATTGCTTCTGTAATTGCACTAAATGTTTTTTCTTGCATGTTAGAACTAATAATGACATGAAATAGTTAAACTGCTTTTTTGTTGTTGTTGTTTTAAAGATTGGTTTGTGTTAAAGAAAGTAGAGAGGCCAAACAAGACTGTCTCAAAGAACTCTGACTGTCTGTGGAGTACCCCGGGGTCATGTCCCACTGGGAACTTGGATCCATCCTGCTTCACAAGTTGTCACGGGATGTCCCAAAACACAGGGTATCCAGCTGGGAATCATAATCAGAGCTTGCTGACATTTCCCCAGTTTGATAACAATTGTGCTGAAACTCCTGGGTATTCTGGTCAAAACACACCCCAAAGTCTCCATGTGCAGCTGGGGGGACGTGCCCCACCAGCTCCCTCACTGCAGCAACCAGCAGTTCCCATGGATAACGGAGTTGGGCGGTTTGTGCCTCGTACAACTTGCCTGCAGGAACGCAAGAGGAAGAGAGAAGAAGACAACAAGTTTCCCCTCATTGGAACAAGTGTGGACAATACTGAAGTCATTTTTGGGCCACAGCTACCTGAAATACCTAAAGTGGATATGGATGATGAGTCACTGAATACGTCAGCTACGTTAATTAGAAATAAAATGAAAGAGGTAGGAATTCTGAAAGTTCCGATGTTTTTTTCAAACAAACACATTATGTACTTGTGAACCATAAAAAGAGAGGCCCTAAGATAATTGGCATTGATTGAGTATTATCAGTCTATTTGCTGCTGAAAGGTAGCACTCTTCATATTTAACTTTTCCATATTGCAGAATATTGCAGGGCATTCTACTCCATACCTCTTACACTACACTTCAGAAAGTCTAGCTGTCAGTGCCATGGTTCTAACTGATTTTTAGTATACTGCACTCTTTACCACACTGGGAAGCATGGTAACTTTGCAGTTAGTCCTGCTGACTGTAGTGTAGTGCTTGTATCTCATTTCTGATGGAAAGGGGGTGAAAAGTAAGTCAGAGCTGAATGCAATTTTGCTCCAACACTTCTTATGGCATTACAAGATGTACAGAATCAAGAAATCCATCCTAAGAAGTGTGTGGTAAGGTATATAACCTTTTATGGAGGGTATTAATCAATTAGCTGGTTACACACTCCTGATAAAACTGTCAATTTAAATTAAGATATGAAAAAGCTCCCATGACTATAACTAACTAAACTGATTTGAGAGTTTATCTGCAGTCAAATTGATGAATGTTTGTCCCTTATATCAAATACATTTCTAAAGTATCTGTCAAAACACACATTCTCCCTTCCCTTTTCTTCTTGAAATACCTGAGTTTAAAAAAGCACACTACACTGCTTAGAAAACACCTCTGGTAGGGAGAGGGGGTGCCAAGATATGTAATAGTCTGTCACTGAGAAATCAGTTTGTGTGGATAAAATACAAAAATGTTATTGCTAACACTTCTAAGTTTCACCTCTAGTATCTAATGCTGCCTTTGGTTTTATTTTCCCTTTTCCTGCAGGAAGTTTAAATACAAGTGTGATTATAGTAGTACATCCTTCCCCATACTCAAACATGGTCTTACTCTAAAAATGGCATAAAAGAGCTGTTACAGTTTACTAATTATTATTTTTTCTCAATATAGGTAGCAGATTCTGTTTCCAAAACATCTGTGGAAAAGCCAGAGAGTAGCTCAGCCAAACCACTTGTAAAGCAGAGAAGAAGAATATAGATCCTGCTGGCAGCATCTTCCAACAGTCCATTTTTTTTAAAGGATATAGTTTAAAATACTTATTTTTTTTAATGTAAAAAATATTATTTTATACTGTGTATTTCCAAGCATTTCCCTGTTAATCATTGTATCCGCTTGTTTCTTGGAATGAACAAACCAGTATAATGTATTGTTGCAGTCTTGTCCTGTGTACCTCATACTGTGCTGTATTTGAGAACTCAGGGAAGAACTCTATGTAGGTAATGGAAGTAAATTCTATTTATTCAGTTGCTTTTCCAGGAAAGGAATACTGAATCTTAGTCATAGTTTCAAGTTGCTCCTATTTTCACTGTACCATGAAGAAAAAAGCTGTTACAACAGTATTCCACTTGGAGTTACAGTGTGAGATTTTCCCCAAAAATTGTCTTTTCAAATGCCATGGTGCTCTGTTAACAAAAACAACAACAAATCAAAACAAAAAAGTTAATTTTCAATCAACTAAAGCATTTATATTTAGTCAGAAAAGATGCTGAACTGAAAGTCCTTATCTTAGGCTGCATCTGGCTTTGTAGATGAGAAAAGGAAAATTCCGTATCATTAATGAGGTAATCAGTGAGAGACAAGTCAGATTCAGTTACAGCTGAAGGGGAAATGCACATTGTAACTGCACAGCAGGAGTAATGTCTGACCAGGGAATGATCTGGCATGGAGGGCAAGAAGGCCCAGCTGCAGAATGATTTAAACTGGCCAGAGGCAGTTAAACTGGCAGAGGCTGGGATGACCTAAAGGAGTGAAGTTTCCCTTGGTGGTGAGGTAAGAAATACCTGCAGCATTGGTTTGTAACAGTCCTGGGGTGGGAGGGCTCAGGGGCTGCCTTGGGGCAGCAGAGCTGGCTCAGGGGGGATGAACCCGATGCTGGGTTCAGGTGCTCCATGTGAACACTTGCAACAGGATTGGTGCAGGTGTATTTAAGGCATCAGCAGAGGCACATCTCTGCAGGCTCCTTGTAGAATTGCTTATGGTGCTATGGCCCTGTCCAATATATTCATTACATTTAAAAAAAATACATTCAAGTATGAATAAGTGTTTGTGTCAAGGGGTACAATTAAAATTCCCCAACATAATCCCCTGGGAAAGTAGTAAATGTCGGGTTGTCTTCATGTAAAGTTCATAGCTGAAATCTATTGCTTGTGGGGCCTCTCTTTTAACAATGTTACTAGAGACCTAGTAAAAAGGCAACAGTTGGGTATGGTCCACAACTGAGGACACAACTAGTGGAAGCAAGAAACAATCAAGAGTTTTTTGCCTCTTGCCATGATAAGCCTGAATTACATACCTGCTTCATCACCAACACTCAAAAAACAAGTCTATGCTGAGCACTGAATGCAAATTTTGTTCAGAAATTTTGTAAAATCTTTTCACTGGGGTAAAAAATGGAGTACTTACAGGTTTTCCCAAACCATTGCAAGTCTTTTGACAGTCTGCGAGGAGAAGTCTGGCATTTTGGAAACAGCTGCTTTGCAGCTGATGTGATACCATATGGTCTGTGATCATGCCTACCAGACTCCTCCTTCCTGTCCCCCAGCCTACCAGGCAGGTTGAGCTGGCGGCAAGTGCAGGTTTCCCTCAAAAAAAAACTTGCTGTGTTTCCAGCAGCCCCATAGAGCTTATCTGTTTCTAGGAAGCACTGCATGTATTCCAGGATTTTCTTTTTCCATCTCTACAAAGGCACAACTTTCAGTATTTGAAAATGACTTGAAGTTCAAATAGGATAATTACTGGATTAGGAAAAAAATTACACTTTATTGTAGAGCAAAACACTCTACACAGTTCAATTTGACACTGATGAAATGAGTGTGTTCTAAATTACCATCTTCATAAAAAAACATACAAAAATAATTCTTAATTGAATTAAATGTATTGCTAACACATAAAGCCCAGTTACATGTAATTAAACAACAGCAGTGCCACACTGAGTTGAAGATCACTCTCCAGGTATTTTTCTCAGAAAGTTACCAGCCTCTCCCAAAAGAAGCTGTAAGTGAGGTGATGGCAGTGCCAGTGGCACTGTAGGAAGAAAAAAGTTGTATTTCTGAGGATATTTTGCATAAGGAATCAGGAATGGTCTCATTTTCTTAGAGGGTGCTGATTGAGGCTCACTCATCATATTGCTGCCCCATTAGAGACAAACATGGAGGTATTGTGTTCTTAAATTCTCTAGTACCAGTGTTTGTATAAGGAAACATCAGTGGAGTGAAAGGTAGATAAGTCATAACATGCACGTCTCACAACTGAAGCACTTCTAAGTTGACTTCAGCAGGCCCCATATAATGACAATTAATAATATGCACAACTCCTTAATAGAAAGGATTTGCACATTTTTTTAAAAACTCAAGGTTGATGTACCTTTATGTCTGGCAAACATGGTCCAAAGGCTTCCAAGAGCAGATTTTCATCTCCGACTGCTTTTTCAAAGTCCATAAAAGAAATCTTGCCATCGTGATCACAGTCCTACAAAAGGAATGGAACTTTTCAAAGGATGACAACTTGTAATTGTATTTTTAACAGGTGTTTTATTGACATCACCTCTTTTTTTAGCTTGATGACATGAAAAAATAATTTTCTTTGGGTCATCAGTCTCTGCTCAGACAAGATCTGTATTATTTGCCCCTCTACGTAAGGCATAAAAGGTGGATGGAGCAAGCTCAGCTATCTCAAACAGGTTTGCTGACAGAGCCCTAAAGGAGGCAAAACTTCAACATGGAAAGAAGACGAGCTGAGAAATGACAAATCTCAAGCACAGTTGCGCCAAGACAAATGAGACTTAAAAACGAGAAAATGTTAGGATCTATTCTGCATATATATTTACATGATGAGTTTACCTACACCCTATCAGCGAGGCTGGAAATACTTTATCCTAGTGCTTTCTACTATAGGCATTCTCCTGCCCTGCCTCTTTCAAGTGTGCAGCACTCAGAAGCATATAGTGGATTCTGCTGATGCCAGCCCACTTCTTGTGTACTGGAGAATCTCTGCATAGCAGAATATTCCTTTAGGGGTGGAGGAAAGCATCTTTGTGTTTTGAGTATTTCTGCAATTTGAAAACCTGTTTCTACTGATGTGGCACCTTGGAACACCAAAAAATGTTCTAGTGAAATGTAAGTACTTCTTTCAACCATATGAAATAAAGGGTTGAAGTGAAGAATAAGGGGTGGGTATGACAGACAAATAAAAACTTGAAGATTAAGCGACAGAACCATCATATCAGCTGGTGAATGTGCAGGGAACACAGGTTCTAATGGCCAGAAAAGCAGGGGCAAGGACCTAAGTAGAGATTCCTGAAAAGGAGAACCTGCCACTGGATGGATGCTTAAGAGAAATAGAAGTGGCTGGGTACACTCCTTTCACACTCCTCAGCACAGGAGGGCAGCACGTTAAGGACGTTCACTGCAAATACTTTTAGGTATGCAAACAGTATCATGGGACTGGATGTATGTGTAGTCACAATGCCATGGTACCTACAGGCAATTGCTTAAGAAATATTTTTTTCTTCTTTGAGTGATGGACTCCAGAAATGCATTTTTGGATATCTGAGAATCAGTTGCTAAGTTATTTGAGATGGGCAGCAATATCCTACTCTGACAACTGCCCAGCAGCCATATCAGACCTTGACATTCTTCAAACACATACCAGAGCTTTACTGAGTTCTCATGGAACAGGATTATGTACATGATCAGTGTATAGTATGTTCTTACATATATGAAGATTCATCATGTCTAGAACATATGTGTATGGACACATAGACTTGTTAGTTTATGTAGAAAATTTGTAATACATTCACATATTAAAACAGTTTCTTGTGACAATACTGGACTGGACTGGGACTCATTAGGTCTGGATTATATTTCTGACTTTCCTTAGGAGACTTATCTTAAGTATGGAACTAACTCCAATGCTTCAGAATCCCACTATAAATCAGATGAAGTATTTTGCTATCTCATAGCAATATTCTAAGGTTCAGAGTTAATGAATATCTGGAAGACACTCAAGTATCCCAATGACTAAATACTTGCCATTTTCTTCACTGTTATGTCTACCAAGTCCTTTATTCCCTCATCAGCATTTTCTTCTGATGATGATGGTTCAAAAAGGCTGTTTTTCAGCAGCTGAAACATTTCCTCTCTTGAAATGTATCCATCACCATTCAGGTCATAAACCTGGAAACAGTCTTTTTGAAAGATAAATCAATTTGAAGTTCATACAAACTGTAAGACACCATTAAAGCTGCCTGTTACCTGTAGACAGAAAATGTGAATTGTATATATTGAGCCACATTTATCATATAAATTATTTATATAAGAAATATCCGTATCACATTTTGATACACATACTAGTCAGTTAATCCCTGTTTACCCTTCAGAGTTAAAACCTATTTCTGCTCAAATAAATAATCTTCAGTTCACAGAAACCATACTAACCTACAGATCTTCACTCTTCTAAAATTGTCTATTCAGAATATAAACAAGATTCTGGTTTAGAAATCAAATTTCCCATGGCAGGGACCAGCTGTCTGTATCAGAAGGACTTTGCACCTACCGACCACATCCTCTTTACTTCAGAAGCTGGGTTAGAAAAGGAAAAAGAAGAATGAGCTGTACTAGCATGGAAAAGACAACTAAGTATCCCTAAATGCAAACAGAGTATTTGAAGTACAAGTATCAGCCTAATTCTTCTTCTATTTGTTTCTACCTTCCTGCTATCTGAAGTCTACAATCATGATCAACTTCACTATCCTTCACAAAACTTATTTGAACACACAAAGCTCTTCAGTTTTGGAACACAAGAGTTTGTTTTGTTTTCCCTGATAGAGCCTGTGTCAGGGCAGTGGAAATCTGTACTGGCATACATTTAGGACAGACAACACTGCATATCCTCAGGAATTAGTATATTCTACACTTAGAGCAGGGCTGCATATTTTACTGGCTGGGGTTGCACTGATGCACTGAATGACACCTGGGCCCACATCCTAGTGCTGTGACATCCCAAGCCATTTTCCAGATTAATTTATATAGCACATTAGATGCTGCAATCTGGAACTATGGAAACAACATACTGTCATTCTCCCTTTTCTATTACACCTTTTCCATCACATTCCCTAGATTTTTTTTTCTGCTTCTTAAAATTCTAGAGTTCTTGCTATGTTTTCTCCTGTCTTTCTCCATCATTAGTGTGGAGGTTCTCCTGCCCATCTTACAAAGTCAGTTCTCCCACCTGTGCTTCTAAGCTGAAAAACTGCTGGAATTCAACTGTTGTTTCCATTGTGCCAGTAAATGAAAATGCTGGCACACATCTTGGTTGCCTTGAGACTCTGCTGTTTAGCCAAAATGACCCTTTGCTTACATCTGCTTCTTTCTAATTTTGTATGTGAACTCAAAAACATATATTCTGTCAAAACTATATTCTGTAGAACAAGCTTCAGTTCAACTGCTAGTTTTTGTCAGCAAGAAAATAAGGTGACACCTATGATAATGACAGTTTACACAGAAAAAGCTCTGTTTCAGACAAGCCACTTCAGAACAGTTTCTTTGCATTGAACTATACAGAAGAAAACTTCAATTACCAAATACTTTACGAGTAACTACTAAATCATAGCAAAAGCACTGTGTACTTTAATAGCAATTAATTAAATGATGACTTCCAAACACTGCCATACAGATAAATCTTACATTTCATCTTTTCTGCCATTGTCCCCCGAAGAAATACCGCTAAGCCTTCCACCCATTCCACTGCACTGATGCGGTTTTTGTTGTTTCTGTCAAAAGCTCGGAACACTGGAAAGATTATCCAATAGATTTAAAATTTATATAAGAGGGAAACACAAACAAAATAATATCTTCTTAAATTCAATGAAAATATAAACCCATATTTTTGGTCTAGAGATGTTTCTCTGCTTTCACCAAGGTATGATTACCCTTCTCGAATCTTTCTAAGCCGTAACAATGAAGGGGATTTTGCCCCTGAGTTTACTGAGCTTCCACTCCAGAATCCTGCTAGGATAAGACATTTTGTTTGATTTGTTGCTTTTCTGACGTGAACAACAACAGGAATTACACTTCCATGCAGACATAAATGAAATAAACTAATATCCCTTACAGTAAGGCATGTTTGAACATAGAAGAGGATTTTAATTACTAGGTTTTTTTCCTCAGAAAGCCTGGAGAAAGTAATCCTAGAAACAATACACACAAAGAAAAGTAACCCTTTCCTGTCTTTGATATACCACAATCTTCTTTTTTTCTTCTTCCTTGCCTGAAGTAAGCAGCTTTCAATCTTGCAGCTTCACTATTCATACAGAGTGTAATATAGCATTTCAAATCCAAGATACAATTCAAAGCATGAACTAACTTCTAGAATAATACATATTTTAGAATGTTAATTAGTAAGGTTGCTACAGGAACACTTCTACACACAGAGCCAAGCATTTTGAAATTGGAAAAGAACAGGCTTGCTTTTGAAAAATGAAATCAGCCCCCATATATATTAAAATAATTTTTAAGAATGTGTCCATGTAAGGTATTTTTCAAGCCACCTGAGTTGTTGCATAAAATGGCAACAGGTTTTTACTTTATGGCACCTAAATACCCCCTCCTGCTATAGAACAGGAGAAAGCTGAACCAGGGGGTGGCTCCTGGCTGCCTACGACTGAAAAGAATGGCAGATCCATGCCTCCTCCACATCCTCTTCCGGACACCTCTACATCACAGATCATGCATATGACTTTCATAGCAATTTTAAACGTGACCGTCACGTTATAAATCGCTGAAATCGCTGTATTTTCAAAGGGTTATTTGGCTAATTACTCTCATGTCCTTGCACTGTCTGCTTCAGTTCCTGCTGTTCACAGCACCTCTTTCCAGAAGTTACCCGCAGGGACAGAAGGCGTCTCTGAGACCTCCAGGCCTGAGACAGAGCTGTCCATGCTGCCCTCTCCTGTCACAAAACGACAGTGACTAGGAGAGAAGCAGCCAGAGGGACAGCACTGCAACTGCCTCTGGCTGGTCTTCCTTGAGCAAGAAGAGCTTGAGCTACCCTAAACGAAGGAAAAATATTCCCTATAAAGAAAAACAAGACATCCTTTACTCGGAAGCTTCTGCTTTGCTGTCCTTGCAGGGATGAGATAGCACTATTCTGTACAGGGAAGGCTCATAGGGTCAACCACATAAAACTAGAGCCGTACATCTGTTTTAGGCCTCTTGCTCTCACCTCTGTCCATGATCACATCATCGGTCATGCCAAAGGTGGCGTGCAGGGCTTCTCTGAACATGGCACGATCAAAGCCGATGGCAGTCAAGTGGTCGTCGGGCTTGCCCACCAGCCTGTCGAACAGCTTGATGAGACATTCCAGTTCCCCCCTGTTAACTGCCGAGCCGGAAAACAAGGGAACAGAGGCTGTAACTTCAGTCGGTACAAACGCACGGCAGGACCTCAGGGGCCCTGCTGCCCGGCAGAGCCGCCCTGAGCCCCCGGCGCGGCCTGAGCCCCCGGCCTGACC